TATTCTGAAGCAAGAAATGTTGAAGAAGGAAGATGGGGTTCAGGGTACGGTATTCGGGCTCACGCAACGAATTTAAAGGCCGCTTCAAAAAGTGCTAATCAATACGTTGCTATTTTTCTGTTATAAATGATATGTGGAGAAGTCAGCTGTTTTTTGGAGGCTTCTAATGTTAGCAGCAAAAAAGACCCCCAGGACGAGGAATCGAACCCGGGCCTGGCAGCCGACAGTCTCACCCACTAGCCACTAAGCCATGAATGACGCGTTTCAACATCGAGATAAGGCGCCCCACAAGCTTTTCTTTTTCTATTCTGAAGCAAGAAATGTTGAAGAAGGAAGATGGGGTTCAGGGTACGGTATTCGGGCTCACGCAACGAATTTAAAGGCCGCTTCAAAAAGTGCTAATCAATACGTTGGTATTTTTCTGTTATAAATGATATGTGGAGAAGTCAGCTGTTTTTTGGAGGCTTCTAATGTTAGCAGCAAAAAAGACCCCCAGGACGAGGAATCGAACCCGGGCCTGGCAGCCGACAGTCTCACCCACTAGCCACTAAGCCATGAATGACGCGTTTCAACATCGAGATAAGGCGCCCCACAAGCTTTTCTTTTTCTATTCTGAAGCAAGAAATGTTGAAGAAGGAAGATGGGGTTCAGGGTACGGTATTCGGGCTCACGCAACGAATTTAAAGGCCGCTTCAAAAAGTGCTAATCAATACGTTGCTTTTTTTCTGTTATAAATGATATGTGGAGAAGTCAGCTGTTTTTTGGGCTTCTAATGTTAGCAGCAAAAAAGACCCCCAGGACGAGGAATCGAACCCGGGCCTGGCAGCCGACAGTCTCACCCACTAGCCACTAAGCCATGAATGACGCGTTTCAACATCGAGATAAGGCGCCCCACAAGCTTTTCTTTTTCTATTCTGAAGCAAGAAATGTTGAAGAAGGAAGATGGGGTTCAGGGTACGGTATTCGGGCTCACGCAACGAATTTAAAGGCCGCTTCAAAAAGTGCTAATCAATACGTTGCTATTTTTCTGTTATAAATGATATGTGGAGAAGTCAGCTGTTTTTTGGAGGCTTCTAATGCTAGCAGCAAAAAAGACCCCCAGGACGAGGAATCGAACCCGGGCCTGGCAGCCGACAGTCTCACCCACTAGCCACTAAGCCATGAATGACGCGTTTCAACATCGAGATAAGGCGCCCCACAAGCTTTTCTTTTTCTATTCTGAAGCAAGAAATGTTGAAGAAGGAAGATGGGGTTCAGGGTACGGTATTCGGGCTCACGCAACGAATTTAAAGGCCGCTTCAAAAAGTGCTAATCAATACGTTGCTATTTTTCTGTTATAAATGATATGTGGAGAAGTCAGCTGTTTTTTGGAGGCTTCTAATGTTAGCAGCAAAAAAGACCCCCAGGACGAGGAATCGAACCCGGGCCTGGCAGCCGACAGTCTCACCCACTAGCCACTAAGCCATGAATGACGCGTTTCAACATCGAGATAAGGCGCCCCACAAGCTTTTCTTTTTCTATTCTGAAGCAAGAAATGTTGAAGAAGGAAGATGGGGTTCAGGGTACGGTATTCGGGCTCACGCAACGAATTTAAAGGCCGCTTCAAAAAGTGCTAATCAATACGTTGCTATTTTTCTGTTATAAATGATATGTGGAGAAGTCAGCTGTTTTTTGGAGGCTTCTAATGTTAGCAGCAAAAAAGACCCCCAGGACGAGGAATCGAACCCGGGCCTGGCAGCCGACAGTCTCACCCACTAGCCACTAAGCCATGAATGACGCGTTTCAACATCGAGATAAGGCGCCCCACAAGCTTTTCTTTTTCTATTCTGAAGCAAGAAATGTTGAAGAAGGAAGATGGGGTTCAGGGTACGGTATTCGGGCTCACGCAACGAATTTAAAGGCCGCTTCAAAAAGTGCTAATCAATACGTTGCTATTTTTCTGTTATAAATGATATGTGGAGAAGTCAGCTGTTTTTTGGAGGCTTCTAATGTTAGCAGCAAAAAAGACCCCCAGGACGAGGAATCGAACCCGGGCCTGGCAGCCGACAGTCTCACCCACTAGCCACTAAGCCATGAATGACGCGTTTCAACATCGAGATAAGGCGCCCCACAAGCTTTTCTTTTTCTATTCTGAAGCAAGAAATGTTGAAGAAGGAAGATGGGGTTCAGGGTACGGTATTCGGGCTCACGCAACGAATTTAAAGGCCGCTTCAAAAAGTGCTAATCAATACGTTGCTATTTTTCTGTTATAAATGATATGTGGAGAAGTCAGCTGTTTTTTGGAGGCTTCTAATGTTAGCAGCAAAAAAGACCCCCAGGACGAGGAATCGAACCCGGGCCTGGCAGCCGACAGTCTCACCCACTAGCCACTAAGCCATGAATGACGCGTTTCAACATCGAGATAAGGCGCCCCACAAGCTTTTCTTTTTCTATTCTGAAGCAAGAAATGTTGAAGAAGGAAGATGGGGTTCAGGGTACGGTATTCGGGCTCACGCAACGAATTTAAAGGCCGCTTCAAAAAGTGCTAATCAATACGTTGCTATTTTTCTGTTATAAATGATATGTGGAGAAGTCAGCTGTTTTTTGGAGGCTTCTAATGTTAGCAGCAAAAAAGACCCCCAGGACGAGGAATCGAACCCGGGCCTGGCAGCCGACAGTCTCACCCACTAGCCACTAAGCCATGAATGACGCGTTTCAACATCGAGATAAGGCGCCCCACAAGCTTTTCTTTTTCTATTCTGAAGCAAGAAATGTTGAAGAAGGAAGATGGGGTTCAGGGTACGGTATTCGGGCTCACGCAACGAATTTAAAGGCCGCTTCAAAAAGTGCTAATCAATACGTTGCTATTTTTCTGTTATAAATGATATGTGGAGAAGTCAGCTGTTTTTTGGAGGCTTCTAATGTTAGCAGCAAAAAAGACCCCCAGGACGAGGAATCGAACCCGGGCCTGGCAGCCGACAGTCTCACCCACTAGCCACTAAGCCATGAATGACGCGTTTCAACATCGAGATAAGGCGCCCCACAAGCTTTTCTTTTTCTATTCTGAAGCAAGAAATGTTGAAGAAGGAAGATGGGGTTCAGGGTACGGTATTCGGGCTCACGCAACGAATTTAAAGGCCGCTTCAAAAAGTGCTAATCAATACGTTGCTATTTTTCTGTTATAAATGATATGTGGAGAAGTCAGCTGTTTTTTGGGCTTCTAATGTTAGCAGCAAAAAAGACCCCCAGGACGAGGAATCGAACCCGGGCCTGGCAGCCGACAGTCTCACCCACTAGCCACTAAGCCATGAATGACGCGTTTCAACATCGAGATAAGGCGCCCCACAAGCTTTTCTTTTTCTATTCTGAAGCAAGAAATGTTGAAGAAGGAAGATGGGGTTCAGGGTACGGTATTCGGGCTCACGCAACGAATTTAAAGGCCGCTTCAAAAAGTGCTAATCAATACGTTGCTATTTTTCTGTTATAAATGATATGTGGAGAAGTCAGCTGTTTTTTGGAGGCTTCTAATGTTAGCAGCAAAAAAGACCCCCAGGACGAGGAATCGAACCCGGGCCTGGCAGCCGACAGTCTCACCCACTAGCCACTAAGCCATGAATGACGCGTTTCAACATCGAGATAAGGCGCCCCACAAGCTTTTCTTTTTCTATTCTGAAGCAAGAAATGTTGAAGAAGGAAGATGGGGTTCAGGGTACGGTATTCGGGCTCACGCAACGAATTTAAAGGCCGCTTCAAAAAGTGCTAATCAATACGTTGCTATTTTTCTGTTATAAATGATCGTAGTACTCATCATCATGGTAATGTTTTTTCTGATGTTCTTTCCCACTTTTTTGCACAACTTCTTAATGTGTGTACTGTATGAACTGAATCTTTTGCTTTACAAAGCTTTATGAACTGGATTTTTGCATTGCAACGTTTTTCGACAATTCCTCAGTTCTGTATTTTTCCTTTTTGTTTAGATTTACTGAACTTCCATTTTTCGTGTGGAACTCGCAGCGCCCTCACCCCTCACATGGAAAGGTTAAACTGATTTGTCTTGCTGGTGATGGCTATGTGAGAAAACCCACACTTAAAATGTGATTACCGGAAGTAAAATATGTGGAACTCGCAGCGCCCTCACCCCTCACATGGAAAGGTTAAACTGATTTGTCTTGCTGGTGATGGCTATGTGAGAAAACCCACACTTAAAATGTGATTACCGGAAGTAAAATAGTTTTAGCATTTTCATATATCTGTGCTTATAGGTTGCTAAGAGAACACTACTATCCTAGATGTATCACATTGAAAGATGATTACGTATTCTATCTGTAAACCGCTACATATCATTGAGCTTGTGTAAGCTTTTTCTACAATAAAATCCGTCTCTGTTAAATGCTGTTGTCCTTTTTTTAGGAAGTGAAATCCTTGGAGGAAGTGAAGCAGCATCAAGATAGTCTCAAGGTTGAGTCGAAGGATCAGAAACGCAAAAGAAAATACTTTCTCAAGCACACTATCAAAATGAAAAGCTTGTGAGTTAACACTTAGTAGATATCGAGAAACGGCTACTTTTTTTGCCTTGAACCGAAGCGTTTTAGACTTTGACGTTTTTGACTGTTAGCGGCATCTTCCATTGTCGTTAACAGTCAACCTAACCGGGTTGACTGTTAGCGACAATGGAAGGTGCCGTTCATTCATCAAGAAAATCAAAGGCTACTTTTTTGATCTTTCAAATATCATTGCTTTTATTGATTCCTTGTTTCAGTAAGGTATAATTATCGCCGTTTGTTATTGACGTCTGTTTTACAGGAGGAAACGACCGACGCGACATCAGTGCTTGACATGAGATTTCCTACAAAAAAGAAGACCTAACAATACAGATCTCAGACCATCTTGAAACACAAAGATTACTAGGTTGTTTATCATTCTGTCTGTCACTTTTGTATTTTTTCCTTCAACACATAAACATTATTCTCACATCTGCGAAGACATCATGATCCTTTGAGATCACATCCGAACATTTATTACTGCTCACATGATCATCAATCGGCCTAGATTATGAACAATCAATTTATAGTTGACTTAAATCATAAATTAACAAATACAACGCTATATGTAGTAAAGTATAAGCTAATAAGGTTATAATGAGAAAATTCCGGATACGCTTCACAAGCAAACACGCTGTCCGCTGAGAATTCCCATACTGTGAATGCACTTTGCTAAATAGAGAAAAATAAAGTGATATCTAGAGTTATGCAATGCTAACCTGCAGGATGAATTAGATATGACCACTGAGTAGCTGTCGATTCGTCGTCAAATGGACCTTGTTACTATTACAGACCTACAAATGGAAAGATTTTTGATTCAACTTTTCAATAAATAAAATACAGGTAATTCGCTCATTATTACTATATAGGGCGTGATGCTGATAATTATACCCTCAGAGTAAGCCCTCCCCGCTGATACAAATTATCCCAACTTCACTGCTTCACTGTAAATTTGAAGACCTCTCGAAAAACAAAACTAACTTAGCGTAGTATTTCCGTGTGAGTGTGTCTCTAAGTGAATCCGAGATTTCATGGTATGAGTCGAACTTCAAAAAGGATTAAAGGGCCTGCTGGACGAGCAGCCTGTCTGGCAAGCATGGACGTCATGCAGGAGGCAGCAAAGGCTTACCGCATTTGCCTCTGGAAGCGCTTGGGGAGCTCCAGATTCCTCGCGCCTCTAATCATTTTTCACACCTCTGATATTTTACAAGTTAAAGAATTGAACGAAAATCTTTTTGGAGACTATCTCACCTCGGATCAATTTGAGATTCTCGCAATTTCTTTCAATCTCAGCTATAATCGTTTTCAACTTATTTGGATTGGGTTCAGGAAATTTTACTCCAAAATTCGCAACAGAAGGAACTGATTCTGATGCAGAATAAAGGACGAGTGCAATAATTCTTCAAAGTTCTTGTCTTCGATCGGAATAACTGAGAAAGATTTACATGTTTATGTTTGAGATTCTGGTCTGAAGATTGAATAGACCAATTCATAGTTTAAAATCATTTGACGTTGGATGGCTATCTATGAGTCCTTTTTGAACTTGTTATCTATCTTACTTGCTACGAATTTAAAACATAAAAGCTATTTTAAAACTTGCCACGCTTTGAGAAATCAACGATCAATTTGGCATAGGTCATCTGTAATTAGAAGTGCGAAGAAGTAATTAGAGGCGCGAGGAAGTCTGAAGTTCCTCAGGTACTTCCATAAGCAGAAGCGGCGAGCCTTTGCTGCCTCCTGCCCGACCGCCGGCAAGCATCTGCTCGATTTTTGTTGGAGGGCTGTAAAAAATGGTATCATAGGCTTGGAACATACATTACCCGAGTTATTAGTGCTCGTGTTACCAGTGTTACTCGCTTTACCCGTGTTACTAATGTTACTCATGTTAGTCAAGTCAGTGATACTGCATTCTAAAATGAGACTGTTGCGATCATTTCACCAGTCAACAGCAATAAAAGCAGTAACACTAGTAACACGAGCAACACTAGTAAAGGGTCGGATACTTCATGCGATTTCAGTCGCGACGCGATTTGGCAATTCGCCAGAAGCCTTCACATACAACACTAGCAAACTGCACATGTATAGTGTGTGTAACTTACGCGGATTGATAAAATGCCCTATCTTCTGTGCACTTAAGATCTGCTTACTGTGAGTTATGGACAATTGGAATATTGCCAAATCGCGTCGCGACTGAAATCGCGTGAAGCATGCCCGGCCCTTAAGGCCCCGGGCAGACTTCACGCGATTTGATCGTCGCGACTGAATCGCCGACATTTCCATTCATTTTCATTTCACATTCAAAAATTTTGGGCTGTAAAAGTATCACAACCGAAATGCAAGTTGATCGGCATGGAATAATGTTGTAACAGTTGTCTCGTCGCGACGATCAAATCGCGTGAAGTCTGTCCGGGGCCTAACACGGGTAACACGAGCAAAACTAGTAACACAAGTAACACGGGTAATGTATGGTCAAAGCTATATACGACACGGTACATGATCTATACATACAACTAAAAACAAAAAACAAACAAATCAAAATGAGGGAAAAAACAGTTACACTCACTTCTTGGGAAACACATTCATTCCCCGGTTGGAACTGTACTCGCTCAGCATCTCATCGATACTGCTTGTGACATTGACTACTATTCTATCTGATATATGGACCACAGTCTGGTAGTTCAAAGTCGATACCGTAACGGGAACGACACAAACAGCCATAAACAAACGGGCGCTTCTTTTGTACGACTGAAAAAACAACAGTGACGAACTTTCATTCATAGTGACGCAAAAATGCAAAAACGAGAAAGTACCGAAATAAAAGTAGAAGCATCGTGCCTTAATTACAAGTAAGAAAAGAAATACGACGAGGCATGGCGACATACCGCAGTGATTTGCATTGCGCGTCATCAAGGAGAGCCGACGCGCCGTGGGCGGGAGAGTGGGACGAGTATACCGGCCGGAATTCAAATGGCCGCGGCGACGCAACGCGGCCTGACGCGGCCGCCGCAAGAAAATCCGCGCCTTTCGACATACACCCGGTTCCG